CTCTTGTGTATGTGTATGAAGGAGGAAAAGGAAGAAATAAAGAAAGAAAGTAAGGAAGGAAGGAAGGAAGGAAGGAAGGAAGGAAGGAAGGAAGGAAGGAAGGAAGAAAGAAAGAAAGAAAGAAAGAAAGAAAGAAAGAAAGAAAGAAAGAAAGAAAGAAAGAAAGAAAGAAAGAAAGAGAGGGAAAGAAAGATCGGTCGATCTTGGTTTCCCATTACCATTCTCTGTGATGGGATCAGAGCTCCTCAGAGAAATGGCTGATCCTAGGGCTGGGGCAGGGAAAGATCGATCTTGGTTTCCCATTACCATTCTCTGTAATGGGATCAGAACGCCTCAAAGAAATGGCTGATCCTAGGGCTGGGGCAGGGAAAGACCCATGTTAAAAGGACAGGGAGCCATATTTAAGGAGCTACCATTGGCCAAAACGGGAATAATTTGAGCATCGAAATAAACAACGATAGAAAAAAATGATAATCCCTTCAATAAAGTAAGAATCCATGATTCCACAGTTATATAAACAAATGATTAAGTAAATGCTGTGGAGTGGGGCAGAAAGCTCTTCCTTACTGTACAAAAACAACTACTATAGGTATCAGGAATGATGGAGTAAGAAAAATCACCACTTACCAATCATCATAATAATAATTGATTCGGGCAGGAATCATCAAAGAATGCTAAACTAGTGGATGAAATTTTGAGAAGTAACAGGACGTTCACATACATAGTCTCAATATACCTCCATACCTTACTTTTCAGTTACAATTAAAATTTGCAGAGCAGAAACTGGCAGGCACCACCTGAGCCAATCAAAGTTACTGTTGCCAGTAATGGGGCTCATGGACAGCAGAGTGTCCTGGTGACGTCAGCATCACTTCTATAAGTTCTTTGCCAAAAGGCATAAATCTAATCATGAGAAAACATCAGAAAAACCTAACTGAGGGACATTCTATACAATAACTGGCCTGTACTATTCAAACTTGCCAATGTGATAAAATACAATAAAAGACTCCAGATTAAAGAAATTAATTTCAGGTTAAAGATATTGAATGTAACATGATTTGAATTTTCTTTTGTTACAGAAAGACCTTGTTGGAAAAATTAAAATCTCAGTAAGATCTGTCAATTATGTAATAGCATTTTTTCAAATCAGTTCCTGATTTTCACCACTGTACTGTCATTATGCAAGAGAATTCCTTGATTTTAGGAAGTAGTAGTACACACTGATATATTTAGAGATAAAGGGGAATCATGTCAGCCACATACTTCTAAGTGATTCCGAAAGAAAAATCTAGGAGGGGCAGTAAGGAGAGTAAGAGATAAGAGAGGGAAGAAAGAAAGGGGTGGAAAAAAACAAATGTAACAATATGTTCACATCTGGAAATCTGTGTAAAGAGCATCCAGAAATTCTTTGTCCTCTTTTTACAACATTGCTGTGCCTGAAATTACGCCAAAGTAAAAAAAAAAGTTGGATATAAAATGATACCTCTGTCAAAACTCATGGACCAGCATGTTAAGATCTGTACATTATACCATGTATAAGTTACACTTCAGTTAAAATAATTAAAGCTTATTCTAAACATTTAATCAAATATTGATGACTGGAAAACTTCAACAATTAAAAACAGAAGTTAGAAACCCATCAAGGGCCTATCAAACCGGAGACTAATTTCATGTCCGCTGTTTTGGAGCGTGCAATGATAAACTAGCACCAGCTGGTCTGGTCACTTCCGTGATCGCAGGACCCACAGCCCTCACAACCTCCTGGCTGTGGAATCAGGCCCGCCACCTTCCACCAGCTCCCCAGGAGGCCCCCTGTGTACTCACTCATAGTAACAACAACCTCTCATACTACTGTTTAATGTGTTTTTTCATCCTAAATTAGCTTCACATACTCCCTTACTAATCAACCCCCAAATACAGAAGCCCATCACAAGCAAACCTGGACCTTAAATGTTTTTAATTTTAAGAGAGAGAGAGAGAGACCGACCACATATGCCTGGCCAGCACCTGGCTTCTCACCTACATTAAGACCTTTCAAAGTATTTTTTAAAAGATTATTATCAGTGTAATAGTCAACTATTTTCTTTCAAAATACTAATAAAACAAAATGACTACGGTGTCTCATACCTTGCTTCAGAAATACCATAAATTCCTTTACAGTCTGGTCGAAATTAACTCCATGATATACCACAGGTTTGAAGTTCCGATGCTCAAAGGATCGAATAAGGCGAACTGTGATGGTCACTTCCTTGGAAGCCATGTGAAAAAACTCCTGTGGGAAGAGACACAAGAACAGTCTAAATAACACCAACTCAAAGTTATGGGCTGCATTTCCGCCATCAGCTCTCTGGCACCCAGACCATCCCTCCCACACTGTCTGGCACATCCCCCACACCAGCGCTGCTCCTCGGGCACCCACGCGAGTCCCAAGGTAACTCCCACCTACCCACTGTCACCTGAACAGCCTCGTCACAGCTGCTGAACGTCTGACTGGCAGAAAACGGAGGGCACAGAAGATGAACACAAGTGACATGGGGGGGCGGGGGAGACTCGGGTTCACGTATGAGGACAAGCAGGGGTTGCCAAAGACAGATACCTGGCATACACACAGCTGCCTTGGGTTTGCTATGCCAGGGTCTCCTCACTTGGCCCTGAGATGAAGTATGTTTATAACAGTTCAGCTATCAGCAGACCATATCTTAACCTCACAAATGCTGCCAGACTTCAGTGATGATTTAATTATATGCCACAGTATCAACGAACTCTCATATTGTTGTTTAATGCGTTTATTTCATCCTAAAAACATGTACTAGGGCCATGTGCCAGGTGTAAATGTTATTGCATTTATTCTATCACCAAGTCATAAATTATTTCACTCATTTTAAGGATGAGAAAACAGACTCAGACAGACTGTACAAATTGCCCAAAGTCATAACGTTTTTTTGTTTTTTTTTAAAAAGCCAGGATTCAAGCACCAATTTAATTCCAAAGTCCAGGCTCTCTCAAATATACTACCAGAAAATCACCAGAATTATTTCCTCCAAAAAAATCTGCAAAGTTGCCAATGATTTAAGATACAATTACAGTGCATTTCTAATTAGTAGTAACCACTTCATGCTACTTTATATACAACTTAGCCATAATATACAAGTGCTAGGAAAAAATACCTAAGAAACAATGTCCAATCCCACTAGTAATCAGGAGAATTAAAAATAACAATGTGGCCCTAACCGGTTTGGCTCGGTGGATAGAGCGTCAGCCTGCGGAATGAAAGGTCCCAGGTTTGATTCCAGCCAAGGGCATGTACCTTGGTTGTGGGCACATCCCCAGTGGGAGGTGTGCAGGAGGCAGTTGATCGATGTTGCTCTCTCATTGATGTTTCTAACTCTCTATCCCTCTCCCTTCCTCTCTGTGAAAAATCAATAAAATATATTAAAAAAATAAATTAAAAAAAAATAACTGTAATATATCACTCATCAAACTGGCATAAAGTCTGACAATGCCTAGTGTCAGCAAGGGTGCAGAACAATGACAATTTAATCAGTGAAGGAGCACAAGTGGTTATTACTTTAGGAGATGGTTGGCAACACTTAGTACAGCTGAAGATACACATACCTTTCAATCTAGCGATTTCATTTGTAGGCAGTACCCCACCTATGTGCACAGGGAGAACTGTAAAAGAACATTCATAATAACATTATTTGTTAATTATAAAAATTGGAAACAAATGTCCATCAAGAGAAGAACAGGTAAGTAAATCATGGATAGTACAGGCAATAAAAATGAATGGACTAGAACAGTGGTTCCCAAACTTATTTGGCCTACCGCCCCCTTTCCAGAAAAAATATTACTCAGCGCCCCCTGGAAATTAATTTTTTTTAAATTTTAATAGCAATTAAACAGAAAGATATATGTATTAATGTTTCTACCTTTTTTGTAAAAAGGTGTAAATTAGAAACAATTGAAGTTTGCAATTATGAAACTATTTATTGAACTCAGAATAGAAAGGTAATACAAAAAAAAATTAAAACGAATGCACCTGTGGCCATAACCGTCCCCCTGGATCGCTGAAGCGCCCACCAGGGGGCGGTAGCTCCCACTTTGGGAATCACTGCTCTAAAATCTGGTGTCTACAGATTTAGGGCAAGAGAGATTAAGGAGAAAATAAACAAATGGGACTACATCAAAATAAAAAGCTTCTGCACAGTAAAAGAAACCATCAATAAAACAAACAATCTGGACCTCCTCCCAGGGAGTGTGTGATCAGACAGTGGAGAAAACAGGAAGAACAACTCCTTAAGATGCCAAAAGAAAAGAAGGCCTTAAGAGGAAAACCAGCAAAATGGGCAAATTTGGAGCAGAGGCTTCAGACTTGGATTATGGAGCAGCGCCAGAGTGGCTTATGTGTGTCAGCCAAGCTTATTCAATGTCAGGCAAGAATATTTACAAGCGAAATGAACATTTTTGGTTTTGCAGGAAAGGCAAAATGGTGCTTCAGTTTCATGAGGAGAGAAGGGTTGGCCATGAGAACACGAACAAAGTTAGCTCAGAAAATGCCACCAGTTTGTGAGGATGATCTCACATATACAGACAGTGACTCAGAAGACAGCAGTGATACAATAGAAGTAGAAGAAATTGATATGTCTGGAACTAATACTGATGAAGAAGAGAGCAGTGATGCAACAGAGGCTGAATAAAGTGATATGTTGCATAATATAGTACTGGTATGTGAACATTATCTGCGGTGATTACTAAATAAAAATGTGTTCTGTTTTATGTTTAAAATATTGACTTCTTAATTTGGAGTTGGAAAAGTAGGGGGCATCTTATACATGGGGGTGTCTTATACACAGAAAAATACGGTAGTTGTCATCCCTTAGGTAGAGGAAAGGTTATACAATTAGAACACATGCACTTTGATTATGTTGCTAGCCATTTATGTCCTGAGCGGGACTTAGGTATATGGATAGTATGTTATACTTTATGCCTTTTAGCATATCTGGAATGTTTCACCATAGACAGCAACAAGCCACACTAATTTGGCCTACAAAGTCTCTCTGAATCATAGAATGCTTATACAAATATTTTATTAGGTTTGAGAGAATATATAGCATATTATATATAGAAATCAAAATTCAAGCAGTTTTAATACATAAAATAAATTGTGATAATAATTAGCATATTATTTATAATTAAATGGTTCCTAAGGGACTAGAAATAATATTTTCCCTCTAAAATAAGGTTTCACTTTATAATCTTTAATGAGTTTAAATTAACAAATCTTTTGATAATCCCAATACTAGCTACTATACTATTTGTTTTATTTTATACATATACTAGAGGCCCAGTGCACGAATTCGTGCACAGGTGGGGTCCCTAGGCCTGGCTGGCAATCGGGGCCAATCGGGACACAGGAGGTTGGCCAGCCAGAGGGAGGGGCTGTTGGAGGTTGGCTGTGGGAGCACACTGAACACCAGGGGGCAGCTCCTGTGTTGAGCGTCTGCCCCCTGGTGTTTGGTATGCGTCATAGCAACCAGTCAACTGGTCATTCGATCATTTGGTTGTTTGGTCGCTTAGGCTTTTATATAGAGAGAGATAATTTTATTGATTTCAGAGAGGAAGGGAGACAGAAACATCAATGATGAGAGAGAATCATTGATCAGCTGCCTCCTGCATGCCCACACTGGGGATCGAACCCGCAACCCGGGCATGTGCCCTGACTGGGAATTGAACCGTGACCTCCTGGTTCATAGGTCAATGCTCAACCACTGAGCTATGCCAGCCATTTGTGGCTATTTGTTTTAAATCTAACTTACAATGCTCCCCAAAATTCTGATCCTAGAATCTACCACATAATAGCAGTTCGGCTAACATCTACAAAGTTATAATTTAAAATAGACTGAGTTATTTAATAAAGAATACCTCTTGAGAGAGGGATATTATAAAAGACTTCTGTATTTCAGAAGCAGTGTTAACAGGTTTTTAAGAATTATGACTTCTTCCCCCTCTCACCTACCCGCCCCCTCTAACAATAAAGATGCCCTCCAAAACACACCCACACACATGCCCACACAAAGTGGGAAGGCCTAGAACACAGTCCCAGTCCCCAATGAGGTTAGAGCTACACAGATGTAGCTTAAATATACAGTCTACCTCTTAGCCTCAACACACACTCGGATTGCACATAGTGGGATCTCAATAAAAACTAGCTGCTCTTATTGTTATTCTACTTATGATAAAACTAGAGGCCCGGTGCACAAAAATTTGTGCACTGGCGGGGGGAGGGGGGTCCCCTCAGCTCGACCTGTGCCCTCTCACAGTCTGGGACCCCTTGGGAGATAACCACCTGCTGACTTAGGCCTGCTCCCCAGGTGGCAGATGGCACACCCAGATCCTGCACTGGGTCGCAGATGGCAGGCCTGGATGGCGACGGGGAGGGCGGCGAATCACGCTGTCCCGCCCCACCGCCCTGGGTCACAAATTTAACTGCCATATTTGTTGGGTTAATTTGCATAGTCTTCTGATTGGCTGATGGGCATAGCAATGGTATGGTCAATTAGCATCTTTGTCTTTTCTTAGTGTAGATAGGTTTGGGTATAAAGACACCTCTTATAGGCAGCAGATAAAGATACTAGATTCCCAGGTACAATGAAACAAATCATGTAAATGATCTAACAGAAGAAGCCAGATAGGCTGGCATACGCATGCCTTATGAAACTGTTTTGTAATTGTAGGGTGTGTGTTTTTTTCCACTTAATATAAAGCTGCCCAAATGTTGTACTTAAATAGTTGAGGCTTTCAATTAAAACTCCTCATTTGTGTTAATATCTAATTTTGGTCAACACTGTACTGTCATCTTCATAAAAAATCTGTTGTTATATATACTCAGTAACTAAACAATAATAGATATTATCAGAAGGAAAGAAAGTACTATCTATTTTGCCTTAAGGATTATGGGAAATGCTGCAGGTGAGCTGAGGGAGGCAGACATACTAAACAGATAGCTTATAAAGCTAATATTACAGATTATAAAATGACATTTTCCCGTAAGTTTGCCTTACATAAAAAAAAAGTGATTCTAAAGAAGTTTAAAAACAATTCTTTAAATGAAGGACAGAGAAACCAAAAACAATAAACTTAGAGATAAGTTAATAAAAAAGTCAAGCACATAAAAAAGATTTGAATAAATGAAACAATAGACCATGTTCCTAACTATGAAGTCTCAAAATTGTAAGAAATAAATTCTCTATAAATTGAAAAATATCCCATTCAAAATATACAAGAGTGGTTTGGGGAACTTATCACAAATATTTCTAAATCCATCTGTAAGAATACATTTATTTTATTTTTTAATTAACAATTATTTTCAATTACAGTTCACATTCAATATCATATTCATTTCAAGTGTAAGCATAGTGGTTAGACATTTATGTAATTTATGAAGTTATCTCCCAATAAGTCTGGCACCATACAGAATTACTATAATATTATTGACTATATTCCCTATGCTGTGTTTTCCACCCCTATGTCTGCTTTTGTAACTGGCCATTTATATACCTTAATCCCCTTTTACAAGGAAGAATACATTTGTGAACTTAGTGGGCAAAGTCATAAAAGAAAAAAGAGACCAGCAGACCAGTGATCAGTATACCCTGTAAAGTAATAAACATAATAGTGATGTGTAAGAAAGCTTGTGTGATTTTCACACATCTACAAAATCAAGTAACAAAAATTGTAAAGGATAATTAAGGTATAGTAATTTAAGCTGTGATACTGAAACAGAACGAGGCTGACAAATCAGTGAAACATAACGGAAAACTCAAAAATAGGTGTAAGATTAAAAGATTTAGCTCAGCTGTGGCTGGTTTGGGAGCGTGCGGAGGCAACCAACCAGCATGTCTCTCTCACTGACGTTCCTCTCTGTCGCCCCCTCTCTCCCCCTCTCTCTGAAAATCACTGGGAAAATATCCTCGGGTGAGGATTAACACAACAAAACTCAACCTGTCGCTCTGGAGCCTAACAGGGCACTTATCTGCCCTCCCACTCTCTCTGAAAATCACTGGGAAAATATCCCTGGGTGAGGATGAATACAACAAAACCCAACTTGTCGCTCTGGAGCCTAACAGGGCACTTATCTGTTTTACTGAAAATGACTTTCCAAAATGGGAGGGGCGCACTGAAATGAGAAAATAATCGAATGTTCTATGCCTTCCTATACAGACTGTATTTCAAGGGCACCAAGTAGTTGATGAAGAAAAGTCCTTTATAGAAGAATTGCAGTTAAAAAGCACTGCAAGAATGATAAAATTTAAAAATCATTATTTTCATACCTATCAGAATGGCTAAAATTAAGCTATTTCCCGGTATGCCTATATTTGCACTTTTCTAATGTGTTCTACATCAACAAAAAGTTATTTCCATTTCTTTTAAAAAGAGATAACTGAACAAAAGAAAATAATACAGAACTTAACAAATACTGTAAAAGATAGAGAGGGTTAGAAACTCCTTTATACAACTGATACTCATTGAGGGAAACCAAAAAGTACTCAGCCGTCAGAGGCCCCAGAAGCAGGTCACGTGCCCAGAACAAGCCTCACCTTGTCTAAGATGCCACAAAGGCCACTACGCACAGCCCCTCCCTGCCTCGCTGATGGTATTTGCCACCTTTCTCC